CAGACTCCACATAGACAGTTGCCCGAGGGTGGAATCAAATCCGAGTCCCTGGCGCTGTGAGGCAGCGGTGCTAACCACTGAGCCACCGTGCTCTTCAAAGGAGCTGTCAATGTGTTTAGATAGGCTAGTGAAACAGTCACAGCAGACATCCTTGTAAAAAAAAATTGAAGTCATAGCCTTGGGAAGATGTAATATAATGGGTAGAATCAAATATTTAGAGAAAATGTATTATCAAAGGTTAAGTGTGTTGGTTATATGTGTAGGCAATGTACTTCACAGGAAGTGATAATGAACCATGTTTTTGCTCTCTTCAATCTCATGGCAAAATGAAGCCTCTAACAAGTTTCTTCCATAAAGTTAATATTTTTCTTATGTCAGCACACCCTGTAACTATAATGTATTAGCATAGAGTCACAGAGTCATACAGCAGAGAAACAGACCCTGTCATCCTAGCAGACTATGGCACACATAATCCCAAAAAACACTAGTCCCAACTGCCTGCTCCTGGTTTATGTCCCTCTAAACCTTTCCAATTCATGTACCGATCTAAATGTGTTTTAAACATTTTAATTGTACACACATCCACCACCTTCTCAGAATGTTCATTCCACACGCGAACCAATCTCAGTGTAAAAAATTTGCCTCTCATGACTTTTTAAACATCCCTCCTCTCACCTTAAAAAATGTGCCACCTAGTCTTGAAATTCCCCATCTGAGGGAAAAGACAACTATCATTAACTCTATTTTATAAACTTCTTTCAGGTCGCCTCTCAACCTCCTACAGTCCAGTAAAAGAAGTCCCAGCCTATACAACCCTTCTTTATAACGCAAACCTTTCATAAGAACATAAGAACTAAGAGCAAGAGTAGGCCATCTGGCCGCTCGAGCCTGCCCCGCCATTTAATAAGACCATGGCTGATCTTTTTGAGACTCAGCTCCACTTACCCGCCCACTCACCATAACCCTTAATTCCTTTACTGTTCAAAAATTCATCCAGCCTTGCCTCAAAAACATTCAGCGAGGTAGCTTTAACCGCTTCACTGGGCAGGGAATTCGACAGATTCACAAGCTTTTGGGTGAAGATCCTCCTGACCTCAGTCCTACATCTGCTTCCCTTTATTTTGAGGCAATGCCCTCTTGTCGTAGTTTCACCTGCTAGCGAAAACAACCTCCCTGCCTCCACCTTATCTATTCCCTTCATAATCTTATATGTTTCTATAAGATCTCCCCTCATTCTTCTGAATTCCAATGATTATAATCCCAGTCTACTCAGTCTCTCCTCATAATCCAACCCTCTCCA